AGTTCTGTCTGTATGCGATCACAGCTATTTGACATGAAATTTGTTCTCAGAAAATGTGAAAATAATTGACAATACGACGTAAAAATGAAATGATATTCAAAAAAAAAAAAAGAATAGAAAAAGACTGCAACACGAACACAACATGGCTTGGAATGGCAAGTGTCAAACAGTGGACTTGCAGAATGATGAATTGATAGAAAAAGATTTCACGTCGTTTTGGTGGTTGCGAAAAATAGAAACAGCATTTACAGGAATGGACAAAGATGTTCCATCTGCTCAGAATCGAGGAAACTGAAACACGAACGCAGAATAGGAGAATGTGTGTAAAACAGATTTTACAAGTACAAAACGATAGTTTTTAAAAATAACATCGTTCGGAATATAAAATTTGTCACTTAGCTTATTGATGTTACATTCAGCGCCTCATCTCTAGAGATTAATAGACGTTCCTTTAGGTCATTTTTCACTCCATTCGTCAGGAGATATCAGCAAATATCTGTCAATTTTCTCATAATATAAAGGGCAGAAAAGTGCTCGAATTTTCTTGGAATGTAAACAAATGACAAGTAATTTTTTTCTCTCTCTCTAGTCATAGAATAATAATAATAATAATAATAATAATAATAATAATAATAATAATAATAATCTTAACTTATCACACTGGGTGGCATGAGGGATACATTATGTTTCGTATATTTTTGCACCAGCGTCACTTTCTTGGCGAGCTACTTTATCGCTCTTTAACCTTAGGTCCCTGGGCGGGACCCGGAAAGAAATGTGTAAACGCCAGAAATCAAAGAAAATAATAATAATAATAATAATAATAATAATAATAATAATAAAGTGGAGAACAAAGACTGACACTGTACCAATATTAATCGGAGTTCTGGGCATTGTGAGAAAAGGAATGGACAATTTTATTAACAGTGTCCCAGGTAACATCAACATACAAGTTGCCCAGAAGATCTCCCTACTAGGAACATCCCATATATTAAGAAAAATGCTATCAATTAAATGACAATTCTCCTATAGGGCCCAAGGACCATAGTTTGGACCCGGCTCTACAGGATACAAAGCAGGGAAAATAATATACACTAATAATAATAATAATTATAATAATAATAATAATAATAATATATCTTTGAAGATATTCAAAAAGCTGTCAAAATACAAGGACCTTGAAATAGAAATCTCGAAAATGTGGCATATGGGAACATCAACAATCCCTGTTGTAGTTGGAGCCCTAGGACTGGTTGGAAAAGATTGCAGTAGACTAATTGAAGGGATACCTGGAAGCCCATGCCTTAAGGAGATACAAAAAAATGTTCTGACAAGTACAGCCCACATTTGACAAAGGGCTTTATCTATGTAATTTTTTTTTTTTTCGTAGTGGAAAGTGTCATGATGCCATTTCTAATCTTAGGTCCCTGGGCGGGACCCGGAAAGAAATGAGTATACACCAGAAATCAAATCAAATAATAATAATAATAATAATAATAATAATAATAATAATAATAACAATAATAATAATAACAATAATAATAACAATAATAATAATAATAATAATTCACTAGGAATTTTCAGGCAAATATCATACATAATAATGTGGATCCAAAATGCAGGTTCTGTGACAAATACCAAGAAACAATAGACCATCTAATCTCAGGATGTTCTATACTTGCCCCAAATGAATATAAAAATCGTCACGATAGAGTGGGGGCAATACTTACACTGGACAATACAACACTTTGGAAAAATGTAAGCAAACACTAAATGAACATCGGCCAGCGCCGGTTACAGAAATAGAAGATGTCACCATTCTATGGGATTATACCATCCACACAGACAGAAAAATTGATGCAAATAGACCGGACATTATTGTCAAAAAACCAGAAAGAAAAAAAACTTGCCTACTAATTGATAAGCGGATTGTAAATAGCAACAAGGAATTTGAAAAACTATCAAAATACAAAAACCTGGAAATTGAAATAGAAAAAATGTGGAAATTGAAAACAAGAATAATACCAGTGGTAATAGGTGCACTTGGAATTATAAAAAAATGGAACAAAACAACACATTGAAAGAATCCTGAAACCCCAGCTTAAGAGACATACAGAAAATTGTCTTATTAAGTACAGCACACACACTAAGGAGAACTTTGTCTATGTAACGCTAGCAATCGGAGATAAAAAAAAAAAAAAAAAAAAATTAACATGAAAATAACAACACACCACGACCTGCCTTTTAGGTCTTTCCAGACTTGGTAGGTAGTGTGTCCATAGCAGAAATAATAATAATAACAATAATAATAATAATAATAATACACTTAGAGAAGAGCGCGATTTAAAAAAAGAAAAAAAATAGTTTCGTCTGTTTTCTTCAAGATTTTTTTCAAGGTATAATAAACATAAACTGAAAAAGACAGTCATACTGTTGAAATATTACTGAATATTGTTAGACACTGTCGCTTTTCTTCGGCTTCTGCTCTAAGTATTGATAAATATTAAAATAAATATTTCAATCATTTTTTTCTTAATAATGATAATGATAATAATAATAATGTTATGGGCAAAAGAAAACAACCCCGAAATTTATAGACGTTGATAAATGGAAAACTTAGGAATTTAATGGATGTCAATTTGATCAGAAAATTGTGAATAAGAGTAATTTAAGTGGAGCGTTTGAGGCGACTAGACATGCGCACGAAGGAGATAGGCAAGACGCCGAGAAGTTTAAATTTAAAAATGGCAACTTAGGCAGGTAAAGGCCGAAAAGATGAAACGCTTCACATGAAGTTTTTTTTCCACTTTGTCATAGATCTTCCTAAAATTGTTTTTCACATATGAAATAAATATCGTTTTCCAATATATATATATATATATATATATATATATATATATATATATATATATATATATATATATATATATATACCGTAATACCTCATGTATAATACGCCTTCATCCACAATAACACGCCTAAAATTGTGCTGAAGGTGTAGGAAAGTGCTTCTACTCACGCATAATACGCACCCCTTGTTTGGTAATCAAACGCTATAATTTGTACCTCTCTAATTTCATTACGGTCAGCATTTCTTACTCTTATTCAAGCTGTAATTGAAAGATATTTAGCAAAATTTCCGACCATCACGATTCAAAAAGGAAACGGAAATACCTATATTGTGTCTACTGCGCAGACTCATTAACTTGTTTTTATTCGATAAAATGTGCAATCTAACAGATCTTCATGTAGTTTTTCACAAAAAATGGTTTTAGAAATAGAATAATATTATTCTAATTTAGTTTTATGATGATTCTTATTTTATTTTACGTTTCTAAGTATTGTTAGGTACATATTGTATTTGACATCATTATGGGTAGGAAATCGTCGAATGTTAGCGTTAAGTTATCGTATGTTTATGGTTTGCAACTGAAATCGACTGTTTTGTAGCTGTGCATAATACGCACCCCTTATATTTGCTTATTTTTTAAAGAAAAATGCGTATTATACATGGGAAATTACGGTATATTTATATATATATATATATATATATATATATATATATATATATGTGTGTGTGTGTGATCAAAGTAAAATTTTAAAGTATGCTATATTTATGGGTTAAAATACTCAATATCAGAGATAGAGCGTATGTAAATATAAATTTGTACATTGGGGTCAATACCAGGGGCGACAGTTTGTTTCATGCTTAATTGATGGTGTTTAAGCATGAAACAGATTGTCCCCGGTGGGTATTGACCTCAATATCCACTTCAATATTGAACTGTTTTCTGCTATAAGCATAGCAAAGTTTAAACAAGATATTTATTGAATATACATATATATATATATATATATATATATATAATATATCATTCGTAGACAGTACTGTTTTGTTGTATCACAGCTCCTCACGAATGCGTCACGCCAGGATTGAAACCCAACTGATTTGGTGTCACTGAGCTATCTTCATTTGGCTGAATGAAACAGTCAAATCTAGCGCATTGTTTTTTACGAATGTAAACAAATGCCAATTAGCCAGAGTGCTCTATTCATTTTGTTAAAGAGCTTTGCATTAACGCAGGTGGCTGTTGTTTATAGAATTAGCTTATCACCCAACAGTGCTAGATGCAATATATCTCAGAACAACCAAGATGGACATCAAAATAATCTATCCTGTCAAATGGGAATAAATTTTATGACTGCTTCTTATATATATATATATATATATATATATATATATATATATATATATATATAGGTTTATACCCATTTATGTGTAATCAAGGATTATTTACCATCATTGATTTTATGCATATTATATATATATATATATATTTATATATATATATATATATATATATATATATATATATATATATATATATATATATATATATATATATATATATATACAAACATGTTTTGATACATGACACCTCTTATGTCGCGAGTTGGAATCATATTTTTAAATAAATAATTATATTTATGCTCTACTTTTGTATCGAGCACTATTTTAAAAAAATAATAACTAAAATACTAAGGGACTTTGGATTATTTACCTAACCAGTTCCTTCCTATTTTCTATATACTTTCACACACACACACACACACACACACACACACACACACATATATATATATATATATATATATATATATGCCGACGAAAATGGCTTTTGTTCTTATTTGCCTAGAAACAGCAAACAGATTGCCCCAGCTGGCTTATATACCAACCGTAAATGCTAGAATTTTCCACACAATCTCGTCCATTTTATGCACGCACTCAAAGTGCGTTTTTTATATGTTTTCTTGCGTGACACTCTTAATTTCAACGGCGGGCTTATTTCCTCTCAAACCCCGCTTACAGGCCTCGATTTTATTTTTCACATAGTTTTTATCCATTTTTTTTTTATTAAAAAGAAGCAAGAAAAAATGAATTCGTTCACGATAATATAGAAGAGAAAAAAAAAGAGCAAGACCAAATAAAAAAATGGATCCTAACAAACGGACCAGTGACGCCCGTGGGTTTGGGAAGACGTAAGCACCTGTTTCAGTTTTGAAGTAATTCCTAACACACGCACAAGCAAAGAAAGAAAGAGAGAGAAAGAGAGAGAGAGAGAGAGAGAGAGAGAGAGAGAGAGAGAGAGATACACTCACATACAGATGAAGGCACGCGTAGAAACACACGCAGATATAAGTGGATCATTAAGTCGGTAGCTTCTCACAGTCCGTAACCCTATTGTGATCTAAAATTACTCTTGCGTCATATTCGATCTAACAGTGTAACATTGAAACCATGCAATGTCAGTGAATGCGATAAGCTTAAAAATATTATTATTTTTCCCAGTCATTCGTCAACAGACTTGACTTCAGTCAGCCCAATGAGTATCGAATTCGCCAAACCCCCTTTCCATATTATGTCTTAGAAATTTTAAATCCTTTTTGCTTCCAATTTCGTTAAAACTTCCTTATTGTTCATATTGGTATTCTCAGCATCTATGTCTCTGTTGCCTCAAGTCTCTTCTTCATCTGGGAAGAAATTGTCCAGCATTCACTACCATACAAGAGGACTTATATTATATAACAGTTGAGTACTCTTGCCTTTGTTTCTCTTGCTTCAAGTCTCTTCTTCATCTGTGAGGAGATTGTTCAGCATTCACTGCCATATAGGAGGACTGATATCACATAACACTTCAGTACTCTTTTCTTTGTTTTCTGTTGCTTCAAGTCTCTTCCTCATCTGTGAGGAGATTGTCCAGTATTCACTGCCATATAGGAGGACTGATATTACATAACAGTTCAGTACTCTTTTCTTTGTTTCTCTTGCTTCAAGTCTCTTCTTCATCTGTGAGGATCTTGTCCAGCATTCACTGCCATATAGGAGGACTGATATTACATAACAGTTCAGTACTCTTTTCTTTGTTTCTCTTGCTTCAAGTCTCTTCTTCATCTTTGAGGAGATTGTCCAGCATTCACTGCCATATAGGAGGACTGATATTACATAACAGTTCAGTAATCCTTCCTTTGTTTCTGTTGCTTCAAATCTCTTCTTCGTCTGTGAGGAGATTGTCCAGCATTCACTGCCATATAGGAGGACTGATATTACATAACAGCTTCCTATTCTTTCTGATTTATGGCTGCATCATGTTGAAACGCCTGTTCTCCCAGCTATGGGTTAATTAGTAAGGAAAAAATAGATGGATTCATACCTTCTCCCAGGGTATTTGTGCTTAAGTGAATTTAACTAAACCAACGTGAATTGGAACACGGTACTCCGATTATCAATTCAGAGCCATTATCCATTACACCACCCGCACATCTAAGCTTACAGATCTTGCTATTCACAAGCTGTCACTCATCTAGATACTAACCAGGTTCAATATTGCTTAACTTCCTTGATCGTAAGGGAACCAATTTTTTTAACGCGATATGGCCGTAAACCTATTAAAACTTTGATTAGACTAGACGTGATACATTCAGCAAAGGTTTCTGTGTGACTTATCACTTTGAAACAATGAGGATTGTGTCTCTCCACTATTTCCTATCCGTTGTAGCTCTTAATAATATTTGCCTGTTTACTACCCCACCACCTCCATTCTGCTATCCATTTATCCATTATTTAGGTTACTCGCTGTTTATCTCTACCACTTCAGGAGACGTCTCTCCACTACGTCCTATCCGTTGTCGCTCTTAGCAATGTTTATCTTTTTACTATCCTTACTTGTCCATGTTCTGCCATCCATTTACACAATTCGTCAGGTAGGTTACTCGCTGTTTCCCTCTGTCCCTTCGGGACATGTCTCTCCACAACGTCCTATCCTTTGTAGTGCTTAGCAATGTTTGTCTTTTTACTATCCTTACCAGTCCATGTTCTGCCATCCATTTACACAAGCTCGCTAGTTAGGTTTCTCGCTGTTTCCCTCTGCCCCTTCAGGACATGTGTCTCCACAACGTCCTATCCTTTATAGCTCTTAGCAATGTTTGACTTTTACTTTCTCTACCAGTCCATGTTCTGCCATTCTTTTACACGAGCTCTTTCGGCAGGTTGCTCGCTGTTTTTCTTTGCCCCTTCAGGACATGTCTCTCCACAACGTCCTATGCTTTGTCGCTCTTAGAAATGTTTGTCTTTTTACTATCCTTACCAGTCCATGTTCTGCCATACATTTACACAAGTTCGTTAGGTAGGTTACTTGCTGTTTTCCTCTGCCCCTTCAGGGCATGTCTCTCCACAGCATCCTATTCTTTGCAGTCCTTAGCAATGTTTGTCTTTTTACTATCCTTACCAGTCCATGTTCTGCCATCCATTTACACAAACTTGTTAGGTAGGTTACTCCCTGTTTCCCTCTCCCCATCAGGGCATGACACTCCACAGCATCCTATTCTTTGCAGTCCTTAGCAATATTTGTCTTTTTAGTCTCCTTACCAGTCCATGTTCTGTCATCCATTTACAGAAGTTCTTTCGGCATGTTAATCGCTGTTTCACTCGGTCTCTCTTGCTTTTACTGTGTCTTGTGAGTGTCAAATTTTCCATACCGTCTTTCTACTTTATATATTAAATGTCTTTTTCTTATTCATTTTTTAAACGATATCACCCAAAGCAAGGCAGTAAAGCCACTAAGACGCAAAGGATTACACAGAGAAATTAGAAACAGAAACAGAATCAATATTGAGTAGAAAGAGAGAATAATAAGGAGAACTGCGGAGAGCGATTGACATTGCATTTAAATTCTTGCAGATTAAAAATGGCTGGAAAGCATGAAGACGGAAGTGATTTCCACAAGAGAGAAGTGCGAGAAAAGAAACTCTTAGCATAAACTTTACGGTTACATATCATGTATAAATTGATGAGTACTAGAGGTCTGTCTAATTCTGCGTTTAAATTCATAAAGTCTAGGTACCATAGCGAAGTGCACATCCGAACAATTACCAGGAAATTATTTATAAAAAAAGGTACAGAGGGACAACCTGACGGCGGTAAGGGGGTGACTGAAGCCGAGCTCCCAGATCAGGGCCAAAAATATTGCTGATTCTTCTTTGGATTCTATCAAAGATCTCCAGGTAAATAGCAGAGACACCGGACCATACGTATCAGCAATCTTCTAAGCATGGACGAATGGTAGACTTATAGATATGTAACATATATTCTGGAGAAAATATATATATATATATATATATATATATATATATATATATATATATATATATATATAATGGACTCTCGTCGGTTTCGACGTATGACGATCTGACAGTTTAGTTGATTCAGTTATGAAATCTTGTGCGATAATCTTAAGTGGCATTAAAAGACCTGCTAGTGATATACAAAGGAGGCCACATATGGAGCAAGTGTGAGGATTGTGAGGTGAGATCATTCTTAGATGGGCTGACCTTTTAGATCTTGCTCTCGTTTCTTGAAGGTGATTCACACAAGCAAATTGAAAACTGCTGAGTCCACTAAAACACGTTGATCTCCATTCTACCCGCCCCAAGGCTATGCGCTCAAGCCACTAGGACAAAGGATTACTGCTGTGTGGAAGAATTAGGAACAGAAACATTAATACTGAGCGGGAAGAGAAAAGAGTAACCAGGAGGACAGTAGATAGCGATTGACATTGCATTTCAATGTTTGCAGATTAAAATTGGCTGGAAAGCATGGCATTGGAAGGGAGTTCCACAAGTAAGAGAGTAAAGCCACTAAGACGCAAGGGGTTACAGAGTGTGGAAGAATTAGGAACAGAAACATTAATAATAAGCGGGAAGAGGAAAGAGTAATCAGGACAGTAGATAGCGATTGACATTGAATTTAAATTTTTGTAAATTAAGTTGGCTGAAAAAACATGGAGCAGGAAGTGACTTCCATAAACGAGAAGTGCATGGGAGAAGCTATTAGCATAGAACTTCCGGTTACATCTAGCCAGCTCAACTCTAAATTAATGAGATCTCGACGTCAATCTAGCACTGCGCTTGAATTCAATAAGTCTACGTACCATAGTGAAGAGATCATCAGGATAATTACCAGGAATGCATTTAGAAAAAAAGGAACACATGAAACTTTATAGTGATTGGAAAATGACCGAAGCCGAGCTGCCAGAGCAGGACCAATAATATTGCTGATTCTTCTTTGTATTTCATCAAGAAGCTCAAGGTAAATTGCAGGGACACCGAATCATATGAAATATGTTTCTAAGGAATTTATATTCCCGTTGTTTCTAATATTTCCTCGTTACTCCCATATTTAGTTCATTTTATTCTCAGCATCCTTCTGTAGAGTCACATTTCTCTTTCTTCATCTGTGAGCAAATTCTCCAGCATTCACTGCTATATATGAGCAATGATATTATAATGCAGTTCAGCAAGTTTCATTGCCTATAAAGAACATTTCCTTTTTCTTATTACATTGCTTAGTTTTTGGAAAGCATCTTTAAAAGATAAACAGCGATAAATCTTGCCATAGAAATAAAAATGAGGAAAAAAAAAACAATCAAATGTCACATAAAATACTTTGAAAGAAAAAAAAAATGGCTTATTTGATGGCTAAATTTTGTTCTTCGTAAAAGATTTGGGCTAGTGACTCGCCGTTTCCCGCCTATTGTTGTTCGGATTTTTGGAGATATTTATCAACGTTGATGACTTTTACAACTCCTTTGAAAACATGCGGCCGGGGCAAAAGCGGATGGGGTGGTCGTGTCTAGGCAAGGAGTGCGTCGGGGTGCGCGTAAGCGTGAGCGAATCTCGTATTGTTGTTTTCACGAGTCAAACATTAGACGTGATAGATGTGGCCAGACACGCATCGCTGCCCCAAGACATTATACTGAAAACTTAGAGCGTGTTTTTCCCCCGGTTAATAACCTCCTAATCCGATTCAACATCTGCCCCAGTGTGGGGTGACACTTTCATATGAGAGTGACCAGCTACGTTTTCCCAATAGATACCAATCCGTTGACTGGTCTGCGCGTGTGTGTGCGTATATATATATATATATATATATATATATATATATATATATATATATTTTAAGACATTTTTTATGATTATACTTTCTTTCTTTATATATATATATATATATATATAGTAAAGGTAATAAATCCGTTGATATATAATCCAAGAGGATCCTCGTAATATCAAATATTAAAACTGATCCACAAAAAGAGCTCA